CCTCAGTGTTTTACCTCCCAGAAGAAAATTAGAAATTAAGATGGAAACTTTTGGACAGCAGGCTCCATTTTCACACAACCAAGGGCCTTCTGCTGATGAAGGGTTGGCTTTCCAAGGAACAGCAATGTGCTGAGCCCTGGAGGACTTCAAGAACAAGTTGGGAAGAGTGTGTGATGAGGCCTTGGGTTCAACCTGTACCACTGAAAAATTAAAGAACAGCCTTAGACAATTCCGTGAGGATGCTGCAGAACTAAAAGCCTCAGAACATGGATATGATGTTGAGATCCATTTCAACCCTAACAACTTGTCGATGAAAGTTCGTGCATAATTCCATAATTCCATCTTAAATAAAGAAGTAGTACAAGAGAGAAATTTTTAAATTTAATAATAAAATTTACATTTGAGTTTAATTCCTCTCTTCCTTTGAAAATGTCCAAAGATGCCATGACATTTCTAACAAATATGTAACCTTTGTTCCATTTTTCAAAATAGCTGTTACTAAAATGAAAATATACATGTCTGTTTCTTACTATATTTCATAATAAATTTAAAGACATAGTCCTTTGCATAGGAGAAAGAAATATAATTTCAAGAAACAATCAAATCTTACTGAATAGCTGGGCATGGTGGCACATATCTGTAACTCCAGCTGCTCGAGAGGCTGGAGCAGGAGGATAGCCATAATTTGTTCAAAGCCAGCCTGGACAACTCAGCAAGACTTTACTCCAAAATAAAAATATGTAAAAGACCTGGGCAGAGAATTTGCCTAACATGTGCAAAGTCCTGAATTCCATCCATAGTATCACAAAAAATAAATAAATGAATAAATAAACCTCACATAGAAGTTCAAAAGGCTTTAAAAGTACATATCCAAAGGGAAATGGCCCTGAATTTGACATCTCCATTTTGCCCCCCTGCCATATGTTAATTGATGAGCTTGTATGGGGGACATTCTTGTCATTAGAGGAACTGAGAAGTTACCATTGAAAAGAAGTTGAGGCCCAAAAGTGGCAGCTGGGGTTGAAGACCACAGAAGCAGTGACAGGCTCAGCACTGTCGCGGAGAGCATGGGAAAACACAAGCTTGGGGGTTGAGATGAGCAGGAAAGTCTCCTTCTTTGGCTCTAAGACTTCTCAAAACTGTCAGTAAAACTCTGAGACCGATCAGACAGCATAGCTGCAAAGGAATTTTGACTGGAAATGGCACTGGCTGTCAGGATAAAGATAAAAGACAAACCGCTAGTGGCAAGAATATAGAATTTTCTCACATGCAGACAGAAGATGTAAATCAGCAGTTCTCAAATTTTTGGTCACAGCACTCTTTACAGAATTATTGACTGCTCTAAAAAAGCTTCATTTCTATAAGTTTTATCCACCAGCGTGTACCCCAAGAGAGATTAAAACTGAGAAAAAAATCTTAAACATGAGCCTGCACTTCCCTATCACACGTTATGCTGTTTGTGGAAAATGCCATCTTGTCCCCAAGAGAACGTGAATTCAAAAAGCAAGTCTTGTGCAGTGGTGCATACGTATAGTCCCAGCTACTGAAGAGGCTGAGGCAGAAGGATTGTTTGAACCCCTGAGTTTGAGGCCACCTTAGGTAACATAGTGAGATCATGTTCCAAACACAAAGAAATGTAAAAGACAAATAGCATAGTAGTATTATTGAAAAGTAATTTTGACTTCATAGGTCCCCTAAAAGGGTCTCAAGAACCTCCAAGCATCGCTAAACACAAAGCATTTTGAGAAGCACCAATATAGACCAAATCTTGAAATCTCCTCAAAGAATGCATTTGTCAAGAGAAGAGGCCAATGGGCAGGCCATGACTTCCCACCCTTTCCCCACTGGAGAAACACACTTTGAATTTTTTTCTAATGTTTTATAAACATGCACCTGCCACATGACGCTGTCCCCGTCAATGTCCTATATACAGTGGAAGTCGTGTGAGATGTACCGCCTGGTGATGCCGTGCTCCTCTCCGCGTCCGTATAATCTATGATTGTCACTCAACAACAAAGTCCCCTGAAAAGCCATCACTCAGGATGTATCCCACTGCTTAGTGGTGCATACACTTGGATTCTGGAGCCATCTTCCTTTGAATGTAGAATTCCCCAGCCAGGGGTGGGAGGGAAGCACACAGGTTTTTCTTTGTTTGTTTGTTTGCTTGTTTGTTTGTTTGTTTTGGTACCAGGATTGAACTCACGACCTTGTGCTTGCTGGGCAGGTGCTTATGCCACTGAGCTAAACCCTGACCCTATCACACAGTTTTTAAACCACTGCTAGAATGTGTATTACATGGTCCCGTGCATGATAGAGAAAAAAAACCTAAGAATTTTTTTAATTGTCTTCAGTTTTAAAAAGAGATATGTTTCAATTTAGGATCTGTATTTTAGTTGTAAGAATAATATTCACATTTTTCTTTTAAAAAATGAAAATTTTCAAGTGAAGAAAAATTTGTAAACATATACTAGCAAAGAATGTATATCACAACACATGTAGTATATTACAGAAGGGTACTGTGTAACTATTTTGTAAGTAAATGCATTTATTCAGAAATCGTTCACTGAACACTTACTTGAAGGTCTGGCACTATGTGAGGCTCAGTCTAATGCTAGGAATCAAACCCGCAGCCCCCATTTGCTAAGCAAGTACTCTACAACTATGCCCACACATGCCTTCTACATTTTAAAAATTCAGCCCATTTGTTTTGGAGGTTACTAAAGCAGTAAAGGATAACCAGAATGGGTATTGGCTGCAACCATCTTGGGGAAGCTGGGTAAACTCCAGCAGAGTGCTGGACTTGTCTCCATTCAGGGAAGCCTAGAAACAGAAATCTATCTTTAGGTCGCGGACTGTGACGCTGAATTACAGGCCAGATTCCAAGGGCTCTGGGCTTTGGTATCCAGAAGATTTAAACAAGCCTCATAATGACTTCTGCTTAGTAAAACAAAATAGAACTATAAACATGAAAAAGTTTGGGGCTAACGGTGCTAATAAGTAAGCCAGGGTTGGTTTTTTTTTTTTTTTCAACTTTTTCCTAAGGAACACACATATGGAAGTGTACACAAAGCCAGGCATGGTGGTGGCACACACCTGTAGTGCCAGCACTTAGGAGACTGAGGCAGGAGGACCACTGAGAGTCCAAGGCCAGACTTGGCTATACATGATTCAAGCTTGAACTGCATAGTGAGACCCTGTAGAAAGAAAGATAGAGAGAGAGAGAGGAAGGAAGGAAAAAAGGAAGAAAAAGGAAGGAAGGGAAGGAGGCAGGAAGGGCAGAAGGAAAAGAAGGTCCACCTAAGTCTCGCAGCACCTAGACCCTGTAAAGCGTCGTTCCAAATCCTCTGCCTGTCCCTGCAAAGTCACTACCTCTCCCTGTTGGGAAGCTGCCCCTGGCTTCTCAGAGCACAGGCTGCCTTTGCTCTGTGCTGAAGGAAGCCTGCAGCGCACACCCATGTGTATCTGAGTCCTTGCCCTCCTCACCGTGCTGAGGAGACGACTGCAGAAGCGCACGCAGCCCAGTCCCTCAGCGCTTACCACACGGCAGGCAGGAACGTCTCGGATTATGACCCTGCTCTACTGCTGAGGAAGCTGAATCATTTCTTAAGTAGGCTTCTATCTATAGAAAAGACGAGAAATTCTCTTATGCACACGGAGGGATGACAGATGAAGTCACCCTCCCCTTTCCACTTTAAATGGGCCTGGCCAAAGGAATTTTTTGTTTTCTTTCACTCAGTATGAGAACTGCTCTGACCATAAATCCGGCATTCATATAATGTTCACTAAGAGACACAGAAAGGAAAAAGGGTTTATGTTGACAGCTGACTCACGTGGACTCTTTCTTCCCAGTTCCAAAGAAAGTGAGCTGCCTCTTGGTGGTGATAATGTATCAAGGGAGGGACCCTGATCTGAGTTTCTTTCTGACCCTGAGACAGCCTCTCACAGCCTCTGCGGTGTCTGGTCCCAGCAGACAGAGCAGATGGTAGGTGGAACGGGAAGCAGCACCCAAACAGGATCCAAAAAAGTGGGGAGGTCCCTGAAATTACCACTTTAAAAAATAAAACGATGTTTGTGCACAGAATAAGACAATTTCTTATTCACACATCCCACCTCTGACATTAATCAGAGCCTTGACCTATGTGCTCTATTCTATGTCATCTTTTCCACCCGTGTAGTTTACAGATTTTCTTACTTTGAAGTGGAAGGGGGTGGGGGACTGCTGCTGCCCTAAAAGGAATGAGGAAATGAGAGCTGTGCAGCGTTTGGCTGGCTCTGTCTGTGTGACAGCCCATGATGGGCTTTCCGGTCCCAGTAATATTCTAAATTTCCACCTGCCCGCCCCCGCCGCTTATAATACCCAGCACGTGAAGCTGGAGCTGCCCTGTCTCCTTCTCCCTGCCGGTGGATTAGTAGGGTCATGCTGTGTCTGCTGCTTCCCTCACGTCACCAGAGGTAAAAGAGCCCTGGCTAGAGACCTTCCAACAGTAAGTACTATAGATTAACAGGACTAGAAGATGCGCAGCCAGAAACAGACATGTCAAAGAATATGTAGACGTGTTAGACTCTGAACACAGAATGCTTCGCTTCCACAGTAGGAATTCTGTAAATATTATCTCTGGTTTAAGTTTACTATCATGGGAATAAGTAGTATCCGGAAAATACATTTTTCCTTCTTTCTTGGGTTCAGTGAAAAAAAATCTATGCAGAGCACTTCATATAGTACTTGTGAGCGCTTCAAAACATTGTTAGTTGTTATTGTGAATGATACACAGGTTGTCTCCTGCATGAGACTGTAATAATGAATATCAAAGGCGGGACAGTAAAGACAGCTAGCTTACGGCATTTAGAAATGAAGTGTGTCTGGTTGTTCTTAAAAGCAGATGACATTTGTTAACAGACTGATTTTAAATGAAAACTTTTCTGATAGTGCCAAAGCAAAGTGGTTCCAAAACTGGCCAACTTATTCTGTTGTTAACTGTTACCTGTATGTTTTCTTATAGACAGAATCAGAGCCCCCCAGGAGTGAGACTCAGCCCTGGACAGACAGCCCTAACTCCAATGAAGCTGATAAGCAGTTTCGATGCTGTAAGTGCTTGTTTATATTTATACTCATTCATATTTCCTATAAGCAAGAACCTATGACATTTACTTAATTTTATTTATTTTTGTCTTTTAGTCCAAAACACTAAATGCCAATAATATGGAGACTTTGGTCAAATGTCAGTCAGAGGTAAGAAAACAATTTTTAAAACCTTTTTTTTTTTTTTTTTTTTGCACTGTGAGAAAACCGAAAGCTTTCTGTTTTAATTGAATGTTTTTGGCTGAATTACCATAGTAGAAAGTTAACATCATAAATAGAGAATGTTAAGATGAAAAAAATGTGTTTTGTAATTAGTGATTATTTTAACTGAAATAAATGTATTTTTAGGGTGACATCAAGGAACACCCCCTCTTGGCATCGTGTGAGAGTAAAGACAGTATCTGCCAACTAATTGGTGAGTTTTGAAAATATACTGATCTTTTTTGTAAGTGCGAATAACCAGCGTTCCTGGTTTGCAAAACCACAGTGCCTTTACTCTACTAAGAATTTGCTTCTGAGTGCTCTGTTCCAGACCACAGAGCATTAACGCTTAACTGGCAGAGGTGCTCCCTCCGAAAGACCCTGCTACAGCAGGAGGTTTCTAGTGGGCTGGCTATCTCCTGGCCATCTGTGCTTTGCTAATGAAAACCTTGGTGCATTTGAAAAATACACAGTGCCTTCTCCATTTTCTTATTAGAGACTGCATCTAAGAGCCCACAAAGCCACTGTTGCTGGTCTCAGATCTCAAAGAACCTGTCATTTGCTCTTACATTTTTTTCATAATACATGTCACTGTGACATAACTGTGACCCAGGACTCCTGAAGTATCGGGACAGGCCGCTTCACTCTCATTCTTCTTCCTCTTGCTGGAGTAAAATGTGTAGGAGCGCCTGCCAATCATTTAGAAAACATAAGTTTTACAGTTGGGGAAAAAAGAGGAAGGAAAGAAGCGAGGGAGGGAAACTGTCGAGATGCAGTACCCACCGCAGACATGCCTCCCGGATTTTGAAAGGACAGACTACTTGCTAACGAGCTGCTGGTAATTGCAAATTCCGGGTCCTGCAGCAGTCTGACTCCTGCCGGGTGACGGCTGCAGGGAAAGGCAGGGCCTGCAGGTGCGTGCGTGATTGGCGCCCTCTCGCGGCCGCCCACAGCTAGCGTGCTGCGAAGGCGTGGGGGCCTGCGGTGCCCAGAGCCTGCCGAGCGATCTGGAGCCAGTCACTTCCTCTCGATTAACTTTCGTTTTTGTCACCAATCGAGGAAGAAATTAAAATAACCTACATTATCAGAGGCATGCACCCTGTAGTTATTAAAGCTACTGTGTTAAGCTGATGTTGTTTTTTACTTGCACAGTTTGGTTTTGTTATTTTCTTTAGTAAATTGCTAGAGAAGATAAAAACAGGAAAGGCGCGGCCCTTGAGGAACCCCAGTGTTGATGTTTAGGGTTGGTTGCCCCATAACAGTGCGGTTGTCAGGGCTTAGCTTTTCTAGATCAACAGTCATGCCTTTGCTCCCTCGGATTTTCAAAAGCATGTCTCTGCACACGGTGTACTAGAGTGCAGAGCATTCTCTTAGGTGGGTCTTTGCTTAGTGCCACTGTGGCCTGACTTTTCTCTTTCCCTTCTATTCTTGGCTGTAGAAGTTAAGAAAAGAAAGACGGGGCGGCCCTGGCCCTTTCTCCCGAGGAAGGTTTCCTCAGATTTCTCTGGGGCGTTGGAGCCCGAGCTGAGAGCGCCGCTGTTTGACCAGCCTCTGTCCATGATCTGCAGTGAGAACGGCTCGCTCCCCAGGCCCATTCAGGTAAGTGTGCGTTTGCTTGGGAGCCCACCCCACTTTCCTATCGGCTGCGAAAGAAAATGTCCTTGGGAAATCCGGATGCAATTCTCATGCTAAACTCGTTATTTCTAAGATCTTCTGCTCTGCAGTCAGGAGCATCCCTGCCTGCTGACGTCCTGGAGACTAAATCTATTTGTCAGTGAGCTCAGAGTGACAGTCTTTCCCTCTTTCCTCTGCCATCTGCAGATGTAAGATGGTTGGAATTTGTAGTTTCTAAAATTCAACAGGTAGAGAGGGAGTGAAGTGAGTATCAGCAAGCAGTGTTTATGTGGAAATATTTGAAAGGAAGGAGGCCTCGTAGTAATTTTAGGCTGTGCAGAATTAGAACTTCCAGTTTACCTCCTCCAAGAGGCATGGCAGGGTGGAGGGAGACAGGTGATAATAACTGGACTGGAAACCTATACAATCTCAATACTCTTCTGAAGACCATCTTAATATACTGGACATAGTGGTGCACACCTGTCATACCACCATTCTGGGAAGCTGAAGCAGGAGGGTTTCAAATTTGAGTCCAGTCTGGGCAATTTAGTAGCTTAACATGACCCTGTCTCAAAATGTTTTTAAAATCTTAAAAGGCTGAGGATGTAGCTCATTGCGCCGGGAGCAAGGGGAAAAAGAAGGCTGTTTCAATAAAATAAGGAGAACCAGCTTTTATGGGGAAGATATTTGATGGCAGGTGAAGTTAGGGACCGTTTGTGTGCATTATTTTAATTCTCTTTCTCCACCTTACGGAGAGTATTTCATGGTTTTGTTTCCAGAAAATCTATGTACGTGTCTCCAAGTCATGGAGTGACCATTCCTGTTCCTATTCCTGTTCCCACAGGACATCCTCGCTATCCTCTGCCTTAAAGGTCCCTCAACCGAAGGCATATTCAGAAAAGCAGCCAGCGAGAAAGCCCGCAAAGAGCTGAAGGAGGAGCTTAACTGCGGGGGCGCAGTGGACCTGGAGGGGCTCCCCGTGCACCTGCTGGCCGTGGTCCTGAAGGTGAGCCTGCCGCGTGCGACAAGTGGCTGCCCATGACCCTCACACACTCCTCCCGAGCAAGGAGTGGGACACTCTCCCTGAGGGCAACATCAGCTCATCTTGGAGTTTAGTTTTTGTTTTTGTTTGTAGTTAGGTCTTTTAGTTGTTTAGAGACACCTCTTTTCAGTGATCATGGATTCCAAAAAAGTTCTACTAAAAATTTGATGAGAAAAGGCAATTTGATTGTCTCACGGTCAAGTTGATAGCCCTAAATCTGGTTCCCCCAGACTTTGCCCCCTGGGAGTGTGCCCTGTACCTGCCCGTTGCCAGGAAGTTCCTGAGGCACAGTGGGCCTCTGAAAGAGGTTCCCTTAGACTGACCAGAGAAGGCCTGGCTGGGACAGTGTGTGCCAGGAGAGGCGTGAGGACACTGAGAGGGAGCGAAAGCAAGGGAAGCCAGGCACTGGCACCTGATGGGATGAAGCAGCTGACACACACACCCCCTCCCACAGGACTTCCTCCGGAGCATCCCCCTCAAGCTACTCTCCAGCGACCTGTTTGAGGAGTGGATGGGCGCCCTGGAGAAGCAGGATGAAGAGGACAGAATTGAGGCCCTGAAGCAGTAAGTCCTCACAGTCCTGTCAGGAGGCCAGGCCCAGGTCTCCATCTCCTCTGCAGAACTGTCCAGATGTTCCTTGATTCTGGTGTCATAGAAATGGTGACATTTAGGGCATTTATGTGGAACTGCTTGTCCACTTCCAGAATAAAACTAGGAGATGCCCAGAGTGTTTAAAAGTAGTTTTAACCATGAGAAAGGCACTTCTTCAAAATCTATAGAGTGAGTTTTAATACTTGCAAATGCCAAGAGTGGTGTAAGGTTGGTGGAGGGACAGAAATACAAGGAGTTCAGAGAAGCTGGAGAAAAACAATGAAAGCCACAGGCTAATCGAGAGAGTTCAGGCATTTTGATTATCCTTAACCTGTACTGATTACTGCTGTGCAAGGTATAACTCTCCCATAAAACATCCCCTAATGCAGTTTGGAAGGAGTTATTTTGTTCATAAAGTTCCATAACGTATTTTGTATTCTTAGAATTAAACAAATAAAGACTATGTAAGAACAAATTCTAGTGAGTCACAGTAACTACATATGTAAATGAAAGTGACTCATTAGTGATTAGCGAATCCTAAATTCCTCACTATGAAAGTACATCCATATAATTATCTCCCGTGGCTAATTATTTTAAGTGAAGCATTTGTAGAAATAAAAATATCAGTGTCCCCTCCAAAGAAAAGTCCTAAAATTATTATAGTAAGTTTTTAACTACATTCCTTTATAGCAATAATTCTGAAAAATCAAAAGGATCCAATAATATATTGGAGGGAAATTAAATTTTTTGATAAAGTATAATTTTAAAAACTCAAATTAGCCAGGTGTGGTGGCACATGCCTGTCATCCCAGCACTCAAGAAGCAGCGGCAAGAGGATCCCTGCAAGTCCAGCCTGGACTTCATAGTGAGCTCAAGACCAGTCTGGACTCCATAGCAAGAACTTGGTCAAATAAATAAATAAATTCAAATTTGTTTTCATTAGCAACAAGTAATTAGTATTTAAGTGCTACTTTGATCATATTTGTGAACATGCCCTTATACACTGATTTATTCTCTGGGCAAATTTCTCAGAGTGGCAGAAAAAATGGTCACCATTATTATTTGGTGATCACAGCTCAAAAAGAAGGCAAGAAAAGCAGTCTTGTAGTCTTCAAAACTGAATTTCTGCATTAGTTAAATGATTACTCAATAAAATGGTCTTCAGAGTGTAAAGGCAAACTCCACTATTTGACGCAAGCCTGATTTACAATTTAAAACTCACATAAATAATAAAAGGCAATGTTATTGGTGTCCCAGGCATGAAGACCTGGTGGCTCCCCAGTCTCATTCTGTGTCAGAGGCACTGGAAGTGTCTGAATGATATTTCACACTGTTGGTTATGAAAATGCTCCTTCCTCATTTTAAAGGAAGCTTGGTTTTGGCAGAAACTTCCAACAGGCTGTGTGCAAGCTAGATAAGCTATTGGCCGCTTTGAAACTAAGTTCCCTTCCTTTATTCCAGGGTTGTAGGGCAGCTCCCCCAGCCCAACCTCCTGCTGCTCAAACACTTGGTCTCCGTATTGCATCTGATTAGCAAGAACTCCGAGGTCAACAAGATGGACTCCAGCAACCTGGCCATCTGTATTGGCCCCAACATGCTCACCCTAGAGAATGACCAGAACTTGTCATTTGAGGCACAGAAAGACTTGAACAATAAGGTTAGTTCTCTTTATTTGTGAGAAACTCTTGATTTATGACCTCATCTTCTATTTGCAATGAAATACTTCTGAATTTCTCAGAGTGACTCAGAGTAGCAGTGAAAATCTTAAGTACAGGCTCTTTTTTCACAGTTCCACTTTCTTAAGAAGGCATTTGATGCAGCAGAATAAATCTGTGTCTTCTGTCATCCTGCCAGGCATTACTTTCTGCTAATCTAGCAGTCAGTGCGGGAAACAGGTTTTTTAAATGAAAAATTCAGTTACTTTAAATATTTTTAAATCTTGGGGCTGAGGTTTAGCTTAGCTGCATAAGCACCTGCCTTGCAAGCAGGTAGTTGTGAATTCGATCCCTGGTACCGATAAAAAAAAAAAAATTTATAAATCTCAAACTTAAAATGCCTGTCTCAAAAAAACAAATAATATCTAATTTTAATATATTTATGTCTCAGTTTTCTATATGCTATTTTCAAACACATATAAATCTCGAGTTTTCTTGGAACCTCTTTAATAGCTGACCCCAATATAGCTTCATCATTTGCCCTTCCCTAAAAATAAAAATGTCCTTAAGCTCACAACCTGCTTATTTTTCCTCATAGGTGAAGACATTGGTGGAATTTCTCATTGACAACTGCTTTGAAATATTTGGGGAGAATATTCCAGCTCATCCCAGCACCCGCATTGCTTCTGATGAGTCCCTGGAGCACACGGACAGTTCAGGTACATAACATGGTGTCATTTGATTACGTGATTCTGGACAGAAGTTCCTGCCAGTCAGCCGGTCCATGTAGTAATGTGAAGCATCCCTGGTATTTGAAATAGAAGCCACCCTCACCATCACCAAGCCAGACAAGACTCAAGTCTGCAAGGAATTTGCTGAACATGAAAACTTGGCTCTTGATTTTTTCCAATGCACCTCTTCAGATGGTGGATAGTCTTTCAATGTAGAATCTAGAATTTTCCCTTTCTTATCTAAACTACAAATAACTGCTAATTTTACTAAGTAACCATAGCTATAGAGTTAGGGTAAGAAATTTATATATCTAAGTAGTGGAATATGAGTTCATTAAAATAGAAGTGGATCATATAAAAAAGAATCCAAAAACTGAATTTTAAAATGTAAGATCAATAAGTTTTCAGGAAACATTGGCCTTTTCTGCCTTCTCTTCCTCTTTCTTTTCTTTCTCCTCTTCCTTCTTCTCTGCCTCTCCCTCCCTTTTTTTGCCTCCTCCATCCCTCATTTATATCCTTTTCCTACTTTCTTTGCACCTCAAGATAAATTTGGAAAGAAACAAAATTTAATACGGAAAATTTCTTGTATCAAGCCTCACACAGTTCCACTAAATCACCTGGTGTCAAAATTAGGACAAATAGGGTGACCTCTAATGTTATCAATAAAGAAACTGAACAAAAAACTCAAATGTTTCTTACCTTTTCTCAGACATGTCAACCCTGCAGAATGACTCAGCCTATGACAGCAATGATCCAGATGTTGAACCCACCAGTGCCCACAACTCCCCCAGCGTGCAATCCCAGGTACCCACTGCCATGGCTGCTGGTTTGGACAACAAAGGGAGACAGTTCATCTGTGAGTTAAGCCGGGAACCCATTGTCAGCACGGTAGCCAGGCTGAAAAGCTCCCTCAGCCAGCGGGCAGACAGAAGATTCTCAGAACCCAGCAGGCCACCCTCACAGGAGTGTCTCCAGGCCTGGATGACTAACCAAAAACTGGCAAAAAGCGAGGACAACTTTACCCTCGCCCGGGCAGGCTCTTGTTTTGAAAGAGAGGAAGTTGAAGATCCGTTTCCAGAGGAGGTGTTCTCTGCAGTAGAAGGCAAAACCAAGAGACCAGGAGACCTAAGGATCCAGAACCTGACCCAGGATTTGGTATTGCCACAAGAACTGGTACCCAAAGCCCTTTCCAGTGGCTCCCTCGATGGGTCATCTGACTGCTCACCAGCAAGTTCTCCTTCCTGTCCCAAAAGAAGTATCTTCACCAGACATCAATCTTTCACTGCAAAGACTGACAAAAGCAAGCCCAACAGAGAAATTAAAAAGCATTCCATGTCATTCTCATTTGCCTCTCACAAAAAAGTACTGCCCAAAGCACCCAGCTTTGGATCTAGGAAATCAAAGGACCTTACCAGAGACCAGGTCAAAAAGAGCCTAAGGAAAGAAAGCCAGTTGTCTGGTCGAATTGTCCAGGAAAATGACTCTGACCTTCACAGCCAGACAGCTCTAGGCTTTGGCTTGCCACCCGGGGCCCTTTCAGGTGACGATGTGTTTCAGCAAGTTGATAGCACAAGTCCTGGAAGCCCACCGTCGTATGAGGAGGCCATTCAGCACCAGGCATGGGGACTCGGGCCCTATGGTGGCCAGACCGTTGGAAGTATGAGGGCAAGAATGCTCAGCCAGGACCCCACACAGTCATCTCTTCCATTTTCTTACCATGGAGGGGACTCAAGGAGCAGTGACAGTGTGGAGACACATAGTGGACACAGAGGGCCAGCCATGGCTGAGTACTGGAGGCAGAGCAGGACTGTCAATGTGTCTGGGGAAACTGGAGGGCATGTGACTGCCCCAAGGAAACCTGAACTTCGACTGAGGACCATGTCAGAGTCTGTTCAGAAGGATAAGCGGGACTGTCTCAGGAGACGATGTAGCCAGCCAATCTTTGAGGTTGACCAACTTCAGTATGTTAAAGAATCCTATATTTAGGAAGGAATGCCATACACCATGACCAACTGTGGTGTCATGATGTGTCTCTGTATATATGTGACTGTATAAAGGCCTATGTGTAGATATATTTTCAAAACAAGTCATGAATAAGCTACTTTAGAACATTATGCAGAGTCTTACTCTGTAAGGATAGTTATGTGGTGTGCATCAGATGGTGTCTATGCATACTTAGATTTGTGCAATACATAGCAAATGTAAAAAGTGTATTATACACGAGATATTAGGTGCAAAGGTGTCTACATGAATTCTCACATGGTTTTGTTTGTGTACTTGTGTATTTGTGTACTTGTGGTACATTGCCATTCTTTGGTCCCCGGGGCATTTGTCACATTGGTTGGTGTTTTAATATCATCTTTGCTTTTCTTAATGTTACTTTAAATGTTATATCAATTTTCACATTTTCTACAAATTGCATTTAAGGAAAACTGTTTAATTTTCTCGTCTTAGTTTATCCTACTAAACAAGCGTGAGATAACTGTATACTGTAGAAAAAAAGAAATAGACTGCAAGAAATAGAGTTCAATGTTTGGAATTGTCAATGGCATTAGAAGAAAAAACATTAACAAAATTATGGAAAATATGTGTGTCATTTCAAACATCTAGTTAAATTGGGAAACGTATTACATCAATACAATTTAATCAATGATTAAATAATTCATTGGATAAATGAATTTAGTGCACTTTGAGTTTCTGTGTAGTTCAATGGCATTTATGTTATAGAATGAAGGTAAATGATTTATGTACATTGGGGGTCATACATAAAACTTCAATGTAATTTCACTACAATAAATTGCCTTCTTTATTTAAAAGTAAAAGTGTGCATTCCTTATTGACATGCCATCATCTTTTCCTAAGTTAATAGAAATCCACCAAAAAAATTAATCACACATGGGTGCATTCAATGAACATTTATTGCCTATATATCCACCATTCCAGACTAATAGACAAGTGTAGAAATCTGTGTTGAGGAAAACACAAGTCAGTTTGCAAAACCATAAAAAAGTTCGCACTTTAAGCCACCTTTTCAGAAAGCAATTATTGGGAAGCCAGAAAAGTCTAGTACATCAATGTAGGATAATATAATAAATGTAATATTTCCCATTTCTAGTGAATTAGGCTTTGCAGTACTTTTGTGCAAGCATATCTTTCTTCACTTTATAATTTTCAATTTGCTGAAATATTAGCAATCACCATTATAAACTAATGGTGATACATTAGAATATTACTGCCCTCTGATGAATATATTTTTCCAATATCTTAGAACTGAAGAATTTAAATGTACTATATTTTAAAATTTTTTTCATAAAGCACTATGTATGTATGCTTTGCACCTGTTATAAAAATATTTTTGTACAAGCTAGCTACCAGATGATGATGACTTACTGTTTTCTGAGGTGATTTATTAATAATAGTGTATAAATTTAGCCATACTGTAAACCAGATTGCTTAGACCCCATATTAAAAATATTCTAATAAGCATCAATAACACATAAATTTCAAGGAGTAAATCCTGTCCTTCTAGCTGCTAAATGAATTAAAACAATTCCTTTTCAGGGATGAATACCAGTAGAGACACAATTTTAAAATCTACTCTGCACCAGGAACTGTGCTAAGTTCTTACTGGGCATCACCTGCCCTTTTTTGTATATGTCTCCAAAGTCCCTTTTCTTGTAAGGACACTGGCCATGCATGATTAGGGCCCACTGAAATGACTTCATTTTACCTCCTAAAACACCCTCTTGCTAACTATATTGCCAACACCCTGAGGCACTGGGGGTTAGGACTTCAATGTATGAATTTTGGTGGTGGTGGATCCAGTTCATCCCATAACACCAACTTTTACAAAATAACATTTAATGATACTTTTATTACATCAAAATTTTTGAATATTTCACCATAGGCATAAGGCTATGTCTTTCCAGTGAGATATGAGTGGTATTACCGTGATACTTTAATCCAGGATGCAAGAACACCAGAGTTCTGTTATCCAAGGACATCCTAAAGATCTATAAAATGGCAAATGGGATCATCACAAATGTGCCTGGTGCCCCAGTGCAAGGTGTCTGGTGATACCAGGCTGAAAGCCAAGGCCCACATCAAGATTTAAACACAAATCCAGGTTTGATTCCCTGGGAAATTTTCTCTCCTCCTACAAAGAGTGGAAGGGCTGCGTGATCTAATGCCCTGTGATTAGTTATTCCGCCCCACCCCTAGCACTACCCTAAACTGAAAGAAATCAAAGCTTGATCTAGAAATGTTGACTTGTGGAAGTTAACCAAAGCTAGATTTATCTCCAACCACCTCAAAGCTCAAACTCAACAAATACCGCAGTGGCTCTGCACTAGATCCACAGGAGTTAAGTAGCAACGAGGGTCGGAAACACCAATAAGTCAAGCAATAACAGCCACAGTTCTTTCAAAGATGGCCAGAGATGAGAATGCCCAGAGAGCTGTTGTAAATGTTGTTTATTCTAATGCATGATTAAAAGAATAAATAGATGAATATCCCTGATTGTGATCTCCTAGAAAGAGCTATCTGCACATAGTTCCCTCCTAAAGGGCCAAGCACACAGAAACTCACATGAGACGAGATCTTGCATAACTGGAATTCTTTTTGAATTGAATTATATAACCTTAACTTTTAAATCTAAAAAGGGAGAATTACTGAGGAGGCAGAAGGATACATGCTTCTACCAGAGGTGAGAGTGAATCACTTTCTAGCAATATTTCAAATGTGGGTTGAGATCCTGCGTTTTGACCACTCCAGAGTACAAATTCAATGTAAGCAAGAGAAAACCCGATGGAATGGAGCGCTGCTTTCCCCCTGCTCAGGCCACAGAGGCGAGCATTGTGAAACAATCAAACCTGCAGATGCAAAATCGTGCCAGAAAAAGGAAATGCAGAATGTTAACATCTCTGTGAGAAGACGCCGTAAGAAAGATAACATGTTGACACAGAGTCTATGACCCAAATGCACCAAGCCTGAGCCTTTGAACTCCCCAAAATCTGCCATAAACAAGGCACCGAATCTGTCAAGCAGCCGTTTCTCTATCTCTGGAATGAAGAAATAACAGCACGCATCCATTGTGGAATGCATACAACAGACAACCCAGACAAGGGGCTTACACAAGCGGGAGGTATGTGTTCTGCAGTGAAAGAAAAGCAGGCAGCTGGGCATGATGGCACATTGCTGTAATCCTAGCACTGGAGAGGCTGAAGCAGGAAGATCACCAGGAATCTGAGACCGTAGTGAGTTCAAGGCCTCCTGAGCTAGGTACTGAGACCCTCTCTCAAAAAATCAAGAAAGAAAGGCAGACTGAGAGTCCAGGGCCTGGATGGAGGCTCCATGCTAGCCTCAGGGCCCAGGGCCCTTTAGTCTCAGAGACAGCTTCATGCAACTGAGACTATAGTGGGTCCAGGCTGGGATAGTGCCCTGCCATTGGCACTTTTTAATCTTAATTGTTGAACAAAGAGCCCTGCATTTCCACTGTACTCTGTGCCCTGCAGATTATTTATCAAGTCTTGTTTATACTTTCCAGCTCTCTATCCCACCATCCTTTCTTTGAGTATGATTCTCTTTCTCCAGATTTAAAAAACTTTAATTTTACTATTATTCCTTTTTACTAACTATGATTAGGCTCTTTAGTGTTCCCAAAGCCCCACAGGCTAAAAATTTGGTTGTCAGCATAGGACACTATGGGGAGGAACCTAGGAGGTGGTGCCTAGTGGGAGGAAATGTGGCCATCGTGAGTGTAACCTTCCTTGAAGGAATCCTGGGCCCTTTCTGTCTCTTTCTTTGCTTCCTGGCCTCAGTGAAGTGAATAGATTTGATCCATCTGCATTCCCAGTCATGACATTCTGCCTCAACATAGGCCTAAAAGACAATGGAATAACCTGCTATGAACTGACACCTCTGAAACCGAGAGCCAAAACAAGCCTTTTCTCGTTTTAAATTGATTATGTCAAGTATTTTGTCACAGTGACAGAGAGCTGACTAACTGCATTTTTTTTTACTTTTCATTATTAATATAAACTAGCCATATCTCAGTAACATACATATTTTATATATTATATGTAATTATATATTATGTATGCATATATTACAGATGAAAAATTAGCTATTGCAATTGTTTATTTGTTTGTTTGTTTGTTTGTTTGTTTGACAGAAGGATACCAGAGAGTTAAGGAAAGAAGAAAATTAATTTACCTAGAATGGGCCTGGATTAAAAAGATCTTTTCAAGATAAGTACAGGGCTTTGAAATTCAATAAAAATAGCACTGAAGATCTTTGGTTAGGAAAATAACAAGATATATGTTATAGAAATGTGAACAGACCATATAGTAGCTGTTTTCTTACATAATACTTTGTCTTTTTCATGAAAATTTTGAATGAAAAATATCATTTTCACCAAAGATGAAAAAAGAAAGTGTAAATTATTTCCTACTAATGATATGGCCAAATCCTACACCCAGCTAGAGACTCTTTAAAATGTCCCTAGACAACAAAGAAGTGCAATGGAATAAATAAAGCACATACTTTTTGGAGAGTAAAATATAAAAATCACAAACTATGTCAAGTTTTACTAACAATTTATAAATGTAAGGTGATATTTTTTGATTAAAAAAAAAAAAACAGGGAATACTTGGAGAAAGGAATGCTGCTTACCAGAAACAGAACTAGACAAACTGACTCAAAAATGCTTTTTAAAAAAAATCAGTAAACACTAACAAGGAAGAGAACTTCATCTAGAAAAGAGGAGCAATGAAGACAAAATAGCCTGCTTCATTCTAAGCCACACCTCATTCTTGAAAAATCAGGTGCTGACCCCAAACCAACAGAAAAGAATATATGAGAGCATACAGGACTTCAGTGTATGAAACTAGCTATTCAGGTCAGTGACGAATATAAAAACAGCTCAGTGAGGGTTGATATAAACGAATGGTCATCTAAGGGAAAAAAACAAAACATTAGAGCAGTATCTCACAACACATGACAGATTAAATTCTACATGGATTGAAGATTTAAACTGGGAAGTGACTCACGGTTCTAGGAAAAATAGGTGGAAAAAAACCTATATAATCTCAGAGCAGGAAAACATGACGCAAAATCCAAGTGACATAAAATATAATGACAAATATGTTTAAAACATAAAAATGAAAAACATCTACATGAGTAAAATACTATAAACAAAACTTAAAAAACAATGATAAATTCAGAAAAAAACACTTGCACCTTATCTAAAAGTGTAAGAATTAATTTCCTTTATATATATATATATATAGCTTTTGTGAAATGATAAAGAAAATGAAAGACTGCCCTTAAAAATATGCAAGGGCAAGGCACAGTAGCATACACCTGTAATCCCAGTACTCTGGGAAGTTGAGGCAAGAGGATCACAAATTCCAGCCCAGTTTGGGCAATTTAGCAGTTCAGTGAGACTACTTCAAAATCAAAACTAAAAAGGTTAGTGGCATAAGCGCCTGCCTCGCAAGAGTAAGGTCCTGAGTTTGATCCCTGGTACCAAATAAATAAATAAATAAATAAATAAATAAATAAATAAAATAAAAAAGTCTGGGGGTGTAGTTCAGTATGAAATCTCTCTGTTCAATTCCTAGTTTAAAAAAAAAAAAGTGTGCAAGAGATATGAGCAACCAATAAAAGCAAAATGTCCTTAAGCTTTTGAAAAGATATTCAAAACCATTCTTGTTAGCAAACTTGACATACTGAATTACTATTTCTCCTATCAGGTAAACAAAATTCTCAATATGCTATTGAAAGCGTGAAGAAGCTGACATCATTCACATCCGTTGGAAGT